ATCATATCAACTTCACTTCACTACCATCTACATTTCTCCCACTAAAATTGACCCAAGCTACACTCGCCCACAGAAGAAACGAAAGGAGGCATATACTCAGGCATCGACGATGTAAGGCTGTTAATGATAACAACAGTGGTTTAACCGTTACTACTCTTCCTCATGAGGAACTAATACACGTAATAATTCTACATCCTCCTCGCCATTTACGCGCCCCAGGAAACCGCAGCCACGCCGTTGGCACTATAGTGGACACCGTTTTTCAAAGCGTAAGATTTCCCATTCAAACAGAGGGGCTCCACACCATCAACGAGCTCAGCCGTTGAATGCGACATCACCTGCATACAAGCCGACACTCAGACCCTCATAGTCCCCATCGTTAACTACGTATTGCTTCAGCATTTCTTGCACCTCCTTATTGCCACCACTTAAAGTGTCCAACTCCTTCATGTTGAAGTGAGGTCCCATACGAGTGATACTCACAGTCACCGAGTTCTCTTTATCGATATCGAACTTCTCTTGCACTATCGTCACCTGAAGACTCCAGTCCATCTCTGTGTTGAGCCAACCCAACCTACCTCGTGGCCCTGCAGATCCTTAGCGTTCATCAAAGGCCTCCTCAACAGACGGTCGATATAATCCGACTTCTTTTCCAGAACCTCCGTCACCTAAGCCCAACCACTCCACAAGACCATGTTCCTCAATCTTACCTCCTTCACAGTAGAGCTGGCCCACATCTCAACCGGATCGTCCTGCTGTAAGCCTACCTCTTTACGAAGCTTCTGCACCTAAACCAACGCCCACAATGCTTTCGATCCACCACGGAACCAGCCCTACTCTGTTGGTGATCTCCCTGGCCAAGGCTAGCTGAAGGAGGTCCTCATCCTTGGTGAAGTCCAGTATAACCTGCATGGGCGTCTATGACCTCCTAGCGCCCAAGGGAAGAGCTTACAGTGACGTCGCCCTGACTAGTGGCTTCGAGGTTGGGATCACCAAGGTCCTTGATGGTATGAGTCACGGTGATATATTCAGGGGTGAGCTCAAAGCCTTGAATCTGAACGCCAGGACTGTCACAGGGCAATGTGGGATAATATGCACATGTTCAACTACATGGTCGATAACAATGAGGAATTTTTGTGAGACTATCGGTGATTTTCAGTCCTAGTTGTCTGTAAATTTCCATACTGTAGTGCAGCAAACTCCCACTACACCCGAAGAGCTGACCTCGATCGAGTTAGTCTTCTGGAACTCCTTAATCTGGTCTGGGGTCATAGCTTTAATCTAAAGGCGACAACAACCCAGTCCAGCTCATGCGACTCCTCCTCATCATCCTACATCAGCGACAACCTTCTTCATCTGCTTCCCTACCAGACCACCGAGAGCTCGGAAGTTGGGCGCGACCTCAGTGGCCAGCATGCTAGTGTCCGCGGATGTCTCCAAGCTCATCACCTACCATACACGAGTGAAGTCAACCTGTCTCAGGCCGACTCCTTTACATTCAACTCGTCCTTGACGTAGTTTTCCAGCCTGTGAATATCATCAAGGTAAGACTGGTCCTCCGCAATCACCCGAATACGCCTGAGGGGCGTCTTGAGACCAACCGTACGGTGGTCGCGCAACTGTACAGACTAATGAAACCAATACTAAGCTGAAACCCCTACCAGACGGCCCATGGTCACAACAGTCTGCACACGGTTGAGGGCAGTCACAATAGCTGGGTCGAGGCCTTGAACGTCGGGGTCAGGCATCAT